CTCTTTCATTTGAATGGTCAGACCCTTTGTTCACCAGGTGTCTTAATCTATTACATTCAAAGCTGGAAAAGACTGAGGCATGCATTTGTGTGTAGCTGGATTGCTGCATTTCTTTTTCCTTGGAACTCTCAGACCAGTTGTGTGGTGTCCATCACTTTTTGTTTTGGCTGTTACATAACATTTAGACCAGGGTAGACTTGTCTTTCAGTTCAACTTTTTAACTACAGACTTGCTTTGCACTGCTTAATGATGATGAATGAACAGTTATTTTTAAAACGATATAATTGAAACAGTGAAAATATCTGCAGGAGCAACGTTGTTTGGATTTTTAGGACGCTCACTTGTTTCTTAAGACACCACATTGTGAGTCTGCCAGCCACAGGTGTGAGGCACTAGATGTTAGCCTCCCGATCCACACTTCTGTCCAGTTGGTGGCAGTAATGCACCATGTTGTTGTTTTCCAGCCACCATAAAACACCAAGAAGAAGAATATGAAGATGGGCACCAGGCTGCAATACAAAAACATTACCAGGTGTTATTGTGACACTGGTGCTGTGGTTCAGTGTGGCTACTCTACATTTTCATGTGAGACTGGGCTGTATACATAGTTGTGATGATAGTACTGTAATTATTCTTATAACCAAACAACATGACATGACCTGTCCTCTTGATTAGGTCTTTTCCAGTAATGCCAGTAGGTATTGGATTTTTTTCTGACATTGTATGATTGCTAAGTAGAATTTACTATTGATAAGTGTAAAGTATACCGAGCAAGGCAGTGTCGCATGTCATCAGTATACATGGGTGATCTTTAAGAAGTGCCTTCACTGCTGTCCAGGTCAGCATTTGCTTCCTCACTGTTCTGAATAGAGCATTATCTTTCCTCCCTCCATGTCCTTTCTGTCTTTTCTCCTGTCTCCTGCTGCTATGCTGTATGACAGCTAAACACAGTAGCTTGCACCCCAGTGATTTTCATCAAAACTGCATGCAAGCAATATGTACTTTGGAAGATGAAAACGAAAGGTTGGCACCGGTGACTATCGACAGAATGTATGGTTTTTGCCTGTCAGATATATTCTCTTCCACCGAAGCAGTAAATTAATTAAATATATGAATCAATCAAATATATGAAAATACTGAAACTCAAACAAAAATCTTAATTCAGTTAATGAAGAGGTTTAAAATGGTACAATTCAAGGAGGAAAGTCAGCATCCATTTGAGTCAGTATTTGTTTAATCTACTCAACTCTGACTGTAGTCATTGGAGAAAGTTGCCATTTTTCAATTGAAAATGCAAAATGTCCTTTAATTTTCCTTTTGATATGAACTAAAAACAGGACATAATCCAATTTCAGATGGAAAAAGCTCATTTTCATTTTATAAACTTGGTGCTCACGGCCACTCGGGGTGCCAAATTGAAAATGGAAATGCAAAATCTGCTTCTAAATTGATGTCAGTATAAAAATACATGTTCTGTTTTGGAGTACTGTGCATTGGAGTTTTGGATTACTGGTGAATGAAAGTGGAGTGCAAACATGGAAGTTAGATTGTAATAATATTGGTAGTAATTTTCCTAATACATAGACATTCTGTGTGATTGCTTTCAAGTGTTGACTTGCACGTTCTCTTTTTGGAACTATAATGGGTTCTTCTTGCTGCCTGAATCCTTCAGACAATCATCCGCTCATCCCTAACAAGCTTGCTTGTGAAACATGATATACAGTATAGCTTGTTTAGATTGTCTAGATGTGACTGTTGCTGCAGTGTTTTTCTCAGTTACCTCAGCATACAGAGCTCTGCTGAATCGGCAAGGCTTGTATACAGTACACTTGTTCTGCAGTGGTGGGACAGCTGCTTCACGGGGGTTAACAGTTGAGCTGCAGACTGTTGATTAAAATTGGCCAGTAGTTTGACATTAGCCTGACAGATGGAGTGAGCACAAAAGAAATGTAACAAATTTAAAGAAAAACCTGAATAAATGAGTGGTCTCTTCCAGGATAACAGTACTCCCATCCATAGGGCAAGTGATGAGAATGATATACTGTGGCCAAGTGGCAACCTCTCAGAGGAATGAAGTAAATGTGGAGGTGCAAAACCCTGAAGTTCCTCAAATGGTTGCTTGAGGCCGGTTCCAAAAGGGAGTCGATCCCCATTGACTCCCATGTTAAGCACAATTAAACATTTTTACAGCCTGGTACAAAAAACGGTTTTGGTTTCTATAGCTAATTATTTTCCATTTTCATGACAACTGTACGGAGGTGAACTTTTATATAACTCACCCATTTAAATTATATTGAGACTAAAAGTTAGGCATAATTAAGGGCGTGGTGACTTTGAGTGAGAGATGGAAGCGTACTGGCCAGACTTGAGCTTGAGCAGAAAATCAGTGGGTGACATCACAAAAGCTTTGTTCATTTCTTACATACAGTCAATGACTGCAGCTTTCGTAGGCACCAGATTTCAACCCACCTGAACCCCTGTGTGAGATGCTGGACCGACATGTTAGAGAGCGCCCCCACCACCATCATCAAAACACCAAATGAGGGAACATCTTATAGAAGAATGCGGCCATCCCTCCAGTAGAGTTCAGAGACTTGTAGAATCGATGCCAAGATGCACTGAAGCTCTCAGTCATTTGTTTATTACTCAGAGTCAGAGGATGAGAGAGTAAATAAATATATACATATAATCAGAAAAAAACAAAAAGTAAAGAAAAATGAATACAGAGAGAGAGAGATGGAAAGAAGAAACAGAAGCAGGTTAGTGTCTCAATATAGCTTCAGAGCATAATTGTGTGTGTGTCTCCATATTTAGAAATGTCTTCAAGCATCTCTGATTGAATCAGCATGATATCAGATTTGGTGAAAACATGTGGTGTGCTGTCATCCAACATCGAGCTGACAGTGTGCACCAAAACATGCAGAGTGTGAATTGTGAAGGCGGCCTCATCTAGCGCCTGCCCTCCTGTCTCTACGGACTGCCACTGCTTCTGTTTGGCTCATCGTTTAATATCATTGAATTGCTGTTGTGTTTTTGTGACACAGGGCTATGGATCTCTTAGGGCAAGATAGACAGGGACAAACTGTTGTGCCTCTTCCCTAGCCAACATACATTATGGTGCTGTATATTCAGCCCTATTGATTTTGTCCCTCCCTCATATCAGCTTTGGGAAAAAGCTTTTGTAGCCGGTTTGTTCTGAGGAAAAATAGCTAGAACACAAAGGTTCAACATGTGCTTTAAGCTAGAATAGCTTATTTGATTAGTACTGATTGTTGCAGGTCCGTACCATTACCTAATGGTAATGTATTGCACCTAATCACACCTCATTCGTGATTGTGCCATTATTGCACGACATGCCTCTGGCAACAAGATTAACAGATTCAGCTGACATGCCCCATGTGCCTGTGCCCCTGTGCTACCGACTAGGGTTTGCACTGTGTGCGATTAATTTATGAAAATGGAACCCCATAAGTAACCGTAGGTCTCAGGTGTATTCTTAGCTTCGGAATACAGACTGTACATGGAACAAGAGCACCATGTTATCTGCAGGGAGCTCTGACCCTGTGGCAGCTTCTCAGCTCCCACTTATCATTCCTGCCAAGTAGCTCTGCTCCTGCTGGGTCCTCATCCTGTGTCTGGATCAACAGTCTAATTTCCATGTACCAAGTTCTAGACTCAAGAAAAGGCCACCTTTAAAGGGACTGCCTTTTATCTTTGAATCAGACTCTGACTCTGTCAGCTGGGAGGACAGTGTGTCCATCTTGGGAAACACTTTATCAAGGATATGGTCACAAATGACCACCTCAGCAGCTTTTCTGCAGCAGCCTGTCGCTTCGTGTTAGAGCAGCATTTGCAGGAGGAGAAAATAAAGGATTTCATTTCCACTGACAGAAAAAGTAAAGAATTGGCTGAAGGTCTCTGACAGAAGGATTCTTAACAAGTGCCCTGCCCCTTTTAAACCCTGTGACAGCCCAGCAGAAGGGCAGGTGGCCTGTTCCTGTGACCTTGCCCTGGGGCCAGACACCTGGGCAAGAGGAAACTGAGGTTTAAGGCACTGGGACCAGCTGCTGTGACACTACTATGGCATAAATGCTTGAAATTGGATAGTAAAAAATATGTTTATTGAATATGTCTCCCCTTTTGGAATATTATTCTGTGGACATTTATCAAAAACTCAGTTGAACATAATAATGAGCCACACTTTAATAATATAGGCTAGCAGCCTCAACCATGTTTATTTGGTGAAACGGTGATCTGATGTTGTATAGGTTATACATACAGTACAAATGGTGGTGTGAAAAATGTCACTTCGAGTCATCTCATGATTTGAAAACTGCAGCTTCTGATAAATTCACTTTTACTGTAGGTGCAATAAAGATAACCCATTAAACAGCAGCTTTCCTCCACCACATACCCTGGGGCATCAGGGATATTGGAGAGGAATTGCACTGTGCTTTTAAGGGATATTAGTAGCAAAAGCATCCATTGAAAGCAGTAGGAATCTCTTGGCAGGGCCCCTATTAAATGGGCCAAGCCTTTTTGTTTAACCAAGCCAAGAAGGTCCTGACTCCAACCATGAGTCAGGTCTTTTCATTCCAGGCTGGAGTTAATGAAGGGATGTGGACTGGCAGTAAGTGGGCATCTGCGTAACTGGTGGAGGATCATCTCTGGTCAGGCAGGATACAGAGCTTTCCATCCTGGGCTGTATTTTGGCCGACATTTCTGCAGTCATGGTAGTGTGAGAACAAGCAAAGGCTCTATGATGAAATCTCCCACTATCTGCAATGGAATGCTGCCACTTGGTCATTGGCTGAGGTGGTGATGGGTAAACCGCAGATCTACTTGCCATTAGGATGTTTGTCCAAAACTAGAGTTGGCCCTCCTCCGTATGTTGGAATCACCAGTTGCATCCTCAGAGCAGAGCACACAGATGGTTGACACAGTGATGAGCCCAGAGGAAGAGGGGTTCATATCTTTCTTCTCAAACCTGTTTGTTGCAGATAGTGATCAAAGCTAAGACATGGCCTGTGGCGGTGCAGGTACAGCAGGACAGGAAATGCAGCTGACCACACATATGAGATTTCTTCTGCAGAGAGGGATTTCATTCGAGGATCCTGAGCCAGCTCTAAATGTCAAAACCAGCAAAGGTAAAAAAAATATTTTGCCCTCTTTTGCAGGAATGAGCCAGAACGTGTGTAATATACCTTGTTTTTCAGACTAGTACATGGGAATTAGAGTATAATTTATGAGACAATTTATAATTATATGTCACAGAAGACTTACACAGACAAAGGTACGGAAGCGCATTGCATTCACCAAAGAAAAAAAATTTAAGGATCTTGTCTCGTAATTATGACTTACTATCTCATAATTACGAGAAAAGATCCCATAATTATGAGATAGAAGCAGCAAGTATAATGTTGCCATACAGTAGTTATGTGTTACTATGGGCTGCAGTTTGAGCACCATTTTTAGCCTGCATTTGTTCATGTTTTGGAACACTAAGTACTCTGAATTAATTATGAGTTCATTTTTGCTTTGTGCTGTTATATGTACTGACAGAATTATGCTAATGCTCATGAAATCTTAAAAATCCAGTGTTCCTCAAGCAGGTTCTGAAGCTTTCCAACTCCTGCTTAGTACATGTAACCTAGTGAGTTATGGAGGCAGCAACCTTGAAGCCCATTTGTAGTTTATATTTCTTTACATTTTGGAACACTAAGTATACCAAATCAGCCATTTACAGTTCACTTTTACTATGCTCTTTTGGATGTTCTGACAACTATCAATGAATTAAAGAATTCCTTAAAACCTGATGACTCTCAGGCAAGTTCTGCAGCGATCCAACCAACGAGAAAAAGATCTTGTAATTATTAGATAGTAAGTTGTAATTACTAGATAAGATCCTCTGTTTTTTTCCTTTGGCAAATGCAGTCTTCTTTTGTACAAAAGACACTAACAATAGTTACTTCCGGGTTGCAAGCGAGAGCAGACGTCTTTAGTGCTCCTCTTGTCTGTTCTACGATTTTTCACATCTTCTACATTTTCAAGTCTTGAACAAATTCTACAACTATTAAAATGCCTCCAAGAGGGAAAAGAGCTAATAAATCAGAAGCGAACGAGGATGTTGAAGCAGAAGAGGTCTATCACAGAGCGGCGCAAGTAACAAACATTCTGGATCAGCAGAAACAGATGTACATCGCACTGATGAACCAACAGCAGGAAAACTTCAAAGGCTTCGTGCAACTAATTATGGAGACAAACAACAAGCGACTCGACGACATGACCAGAGAAATACAGGAGATAAAAA